GAAGCAGTAATATCGTGAGGCTAACTCATACCATTAAAGGAAAAAACTCCACTAAAAATCCTTAAATCACAGTAAGCAGAAACTGGACATCAGAAAGACGAGCTATCACTCGCTGCAGTATCGAATGCCCTGAGATTTTCAAGATGACACTTGTAGGCTTAAAGCCTCTTCTTTGCAGACTATAAGCATACAGTGAAAGAGAGACGCTCATAGGCTTTCAAGACAATCGCATCTTTGTACGCTGTAGTTTATGTGAAATATTTAGCTAAGGAGTACTTTCTAAAAATGAAAGTAGAATGCCTTAAAATCGCCATGACTCCGTTATAATCAATCATTTCTCAGAGCATTGCGGGTCTCGGCTTTGTCGAAGCACTGCTGTGTTTTGATTTGTTACTAGACAGACATTTATACGGCCGGGTATCGTTCTCAACACACGGCCATGCCTTCGAAAAAGTCGGAGGAGGACCGTACTAGCAACCACTTCACATTAATCCTAAGGTCGGATAATGGCGCATATCTACCGAATTCTGTGTTCATGCAAATTGATAAATTGCTCAGATTGAAAAGTATGATGGAGAATCGCTATGATCAATAAGCCAATCCCCCAGTCAGGCATATTAGATGAGCCAGCTCTATTGGTAGGCCAGGTACCATATTGAAATTGTAATCTCGTTTTCGTAGTTTAATTGTGCTGTCTGGGAGATGTAATTTAACGCGCTTTGTCCGATGTCTTTTGCCATATTAGTCGTGGAAATTTCCAGCGTCGGGCCGTGAACTCGGCACGGTCTGATTTCCGCTTCGATACAGTGAAAAAAGACTGCAACCAAAATAGAGGCCTTTATACCTTCAGGTACAATAGTGCTCGGGTAACTTGAGTTGGTATCGAAAAAATTGCCCAATCGCACTAAGTACTTCAAGTAGGCCGCCTAAGAACTAAATTTGGAGGTCTTAAAAGCATAATATAAGTGCTTTGGCCAATTTAGCATATGAGTTGGCTCAGACCTTACAGGAAGTCCAAAAGAGAGCAATGTCAAGAGAAATAATTATATATAGAAAAATGCTAAAAGACAATATATTGTAAGGATAAATTAAGAATTAAGTTTCAGCATCTATTTTAAACATTTTTTAATTTCAAGTCTGCTTTTTTTCAGTATTCTAGCGTCATTATCATTTGCTAAGAATAGCGGTAAGCAACCGGAGAGACCGACTTGTTAGACAATGTCTCCACATACAAACACGCACACATATACATGCATGCATGTATACATACATACATACATAAATATATACATACACATAAAAGTCTATGAGGGCTGTTGGGGACAGAGCACGTAAATCCTGTAGGATGGGGTAAATACTGAGCATGGTAATAAGTAGAATGCTTTGACGACTAGCGATCTACTAGCGCAAAATATGAGGCAAGTATGTTGGATGAAATTAAAAAAATTGCCAAGCATGTCGAATGAAATTAATAAGGAAAGCAAGTGAAAACACTTCTGATCAAATGAAGACTTAGATTAAGGCATTGGCAAGAGGCGAGGTCCAAGAAGAGGCTAATTATTTAGCAGGTCTAGATAAGTGAATTTAACACTTGCTCACTGGCATGTATCCACATGCAAACGCTAGTATCCAAACTAAATTGGGTAAACATAATTAATTGACTCCATATTCATGCTAGACACTCAACGGAAATTAATTGGAAATGTATTCTCACTCGGAAAGTCATCAGAAAGAGTACAATTGTACAAGAGGCTTGCATCCAAGGAAGCATAACGCGAAGATCAATGTTGAGGAAATGGGTTTTGAAGGCTACATTATGCATGTACGTGAATGTCATTTCACGTGAAAAGTTTGGAGCAAGATATTTGTGAACGGACAGCAGCTGAAAAATCCGCTTTCATTATAAACAGGAATGAAACGATTCCAGCACGATGTTCTTTGAGTAATTTAAATAATTTTGAATATTTTTTTGAACTTTAGCCCATTTAAACTGATTCAACAAATGAAATTCGAGTTTCTCCGCAATATAATGATGGATGAAAGCTTAGCTCGTTTTTACCGGAATCGAAGAAGATCGACTCGGAAACAATGTCACCAACAATGGTCAAGTAAAGCTAATCGACAGTTGGTCAAAAGGAATATGTTGGGTGAAGAGATTCGAAGGTCGCTTCCACCGATTCCGGTGAAAACGTTCTAACCTTTCGTCCGTCATATGACGAATATCATCAGAGCGAGGTAGCATCGTCACAACAAAATTGAAGCTAACGAGTCAAGAAAACTCCCCGGCAAATCCCTAAAAAGTGGTATATATACTCTGCATCTGACCTCTTTGATCAAGTATAAAGTGATTTGGTTAGTTAAGGTCATATTTCAACTTCGATGCATGTAAGTGCGTCTGTCTCTGTATTTGTATGTGCCTGTTTGTGTTCGCTTATGCACGAAACCCGACCTTCGAATCTCTTCGCCCAACACTTTCACTCGAAATAGAAGTAAGCTCAACAATTATAAAACAAGAGATTCCTCGAAACCCAACTTTTCTTTCCAAAAGGAATCTGCCATCGACTTGTGGTAGTATCGACCTTCAAATCTCTACGCCAAATGGAGGTGGGCCCGAGAAGTAAATGCGATCACTTTTTCCCAATATTTTTTCCATTAATTGACGCCTTAATGAGAAATTATAAAGTTTACTTCGTAGTGCCAGAAATTGCATTCATTCCCTTATTTTAAAAGACTACACTAGTCACATTGGACCAAACACTAAACTCCGTCAGGATTTCGTATAGGCCAAGGGTAAAAATGAAATTGAATGATAAAATCAGATCTGCCCTTCTGAGATAAGAAAAAAGCTGGGTTTCAAAAAATCCCATAACAGACTGGTGCTGGAAAACTTTTCCTTTTGTTTGATATAAGGCGGTTGGGAGGGCTTTGTTAATTGGTCCACCGAATACGGCAGGAGATACAGTATTTTAGACTCTAGAGCCAATAGTAAGTTAATCTAATCAAAAGTAATATGCGTGTGGTAGAGATGCAATTTGTCATGTTTCGTTTAAAATTCAATTGATACGTACTGCTCAATTACTTCTTGCAAAACAAACTAAAGCAAAATCGAGTATCCGTTAAAAAAGAGAATGAAGAGGGGTAAAAATAGTTGGAATAGGAGTGTAGAACAGACTTTCTAAAGTTTATGGAAGAATAAGATCAAAATTGACTGTGGAAAAATATGTATACATGTGTATATATATCGGCTCTTTATGGAATGAACTTGTTTGATCGGAGTTTTATATGCAGATAAATCAACTAGCATGTGCCAACGAAGTAGTGGACCATGCGATGGAAATAGCAGTTGAATAGAAAATAGTGAAGAGGGAATGTATGCGTGGCTTGTTATGCAAGCTAATCATTCTCCATGACATCAAAAGGATCCTCATAATAAAAGGCAACCAACCTGTTTCAGACGAGCTACTCTGTCAATAGGGCCGGAGGGATACTCCTTGAGGAATTGAGCCACGTAGGTCATGATTGATCGTTCGTCCGGCTTCTCCAAATCTACGTCTGCAAATCGGGAAGGAGCGAATACAAGAAAAAAGCCAGAATTCAGGTTGGTTTCGTGACAGTAAGATATAATCTGAGCAAAAAGTGTGCAAGCAAGATAAGACTGCAAACTCTTGGCTCAATACTGCAACCTGAGAAACAGCTCTTACGCAAGCAGGCTACAGCATCCCTGGATGGTGGAAAGAGATTTGTGCCGAAAGACGGCTCATGACACTTTTGACTTGTGAGCATTTTTTGCTATTCATTTATGAATTCAGAGCAGATAGAATTCAGTCTTAACTGCCAACAATCTATTCAGCAAAGAAACACTTTGCTTTGGGTGTAACTTTCTATTCGACCAGAGAAGTAATAATAATAAAACAGTATGTACGCCCAACGGTGTTGGGGAATATAAAGTTAATGAAATAACGGATTGTAAATAAACTTTCCAAATATAGAGCTCGGCATATGTACTGTTAGCATACATTTGTTGGGATGCATTTGTAAATTCAACCAAAAGACTAATAAAAGTAAAACAGCAAGTACAGTGAGCGAAGGGATCATAGCATGTGTAGTTAAGGCATAATAATTAAGACAGATATTTGCGTTTTCTAATATAACGCACACAACTGGCTACGAACCAGAAGGGCATGTATGAGGATGAGACAAAAATTTTATATTTTGACACGACTGTTAATTTCGAAGGAAAAGTTGGTTGGAAGAAATTCATGATGTGGTATCACGGGAAACCGCCGCGTAAGGAAGACTGTTAAATTGTGCAAGAAGGTCTTCGGCTCACCCTCCTGCGACGCCGATGAACTTGTGCTAAGTTTCGTCTGTACCGCCGGGACAATCATGATCAGAGCAAGAGTCCATACTTTACGAACTAGAACAAAATATATACTAAATCAAGTGAATATTTTGCCGGCTGCAACGCAAGTCGCATTTTATACACCTCACTTCGTGACCTTTATAAGGCATCTCATGATTGTATTGGCTACTTCAACTTTATATTTCGTTTTTGAGAAGGTTTTCGAGACTACCAGTAAATTAACTCTATGAG